AGATGAGGCTAAGCTAGGCAAATGCTGGACTGCCGGCATGCTGCGTTCAGGTCCAGATGGAGAATCCAAACACGGCACCTGGAGGCACCAGGTCCTGGTGGGCGGAGTCAGGTGCAGGGTGCGGATAGAAAAGTTGTTTTTTTTTTATCTTCAGTGATGTAACGATCTTCTTCTTCTCCTGCTACCGAGTCTATGAATGCTGGGATTTGTAGTTTTTGTTTTTCCCTAACAAACAATCTTCCCCAGCTGAGGTTTGAATGTTAATGGAAGACAGGCACACAAACTGCAGGGCAGAAACTGGGTTTTGTCCTGTGGGCGGAGCTTTGTGTCACTTCAACCAGGGATGCTTCATCTTGATTGGACGTTAACGTCTGTTGTCTCTGTCCTCCAGCGTCGCCTAGGAGACGCAGCCAAGAAAGCCATCGGGAAGCTGACGACGAGGACAGTGAAGAAAGGAGACAAGGTAAACTCAGAAACCAACATAACCAGTCATAGATCGGTCCTGCACAGAACCGTCATGTTGGAGTAAAATGGTTCTGGTTCTGCTGACTGACGGTTGTCTTTCCTGTCCGTCCTGAAGGAAACAGACCCAGACTTCAACCACTGTGCCGTGTGCATCGAGGCGTACCAGCTCAATGATGTGGTCCGGATTCTGCCCTGCAAGTGAGTCCAGAACCAGGTCCACACCTGAAGGAATCTGTTCCCCAAGCCTTTGCCTACTGGAGCCGTCCAACGTGTCTCAACGTGTCTCTGTCTCATGCAGACATGTCTTCCATAAGGTGTGCGTGGATCCTTGGCTGAACGAACACTGCACCTGTCCCATGTGTAAACTCAACATCCTCAAAGCTCTGGGCATCATGGTGAGTCATCGCTGACATCACACCTGGGGACAGGTGTGATGGATGACCGTGTCCCCTCTGGCCTCTGTCTCAGACCAGCCTGCCCTGTGTGGACGCTGTGGTTCTGGATGTGGAGCGTCTGGGTGTCGGTCAGACATCCGGCAGCCAGAGGGCGCCACTGAGCGACCAGAACCAGCCGTCCATCAGCCTGGAGCCGCTCAGCCCCCCCCATGCTGAGACCGCGCCCAGAACGCCCGCTGACATCACCGTGGCTGTAACGAGTAAGAAACCAGAAGAGCAGAACTTCACAAACAGCTGGCTTCAACTTTACTCCAGAATAAAACAACATTACAGTAAAGAAAAAACGTTGCACTGGTTGGAGTACTGCATCACACCAAAGTACAGTTTTACAGTAAAACAGCTTCACAGCAGAGCAACAATGTCTACATTCAAATACTGAGACACTAGATCAACACAGCAACAGCTTTACAGTGAATACATC